TCCTGCTGATGGGTTATAAGGATGGTAATGCTGCGTGTATCTGCATATTAAAGTGGTGGGTAGTGATAATATGTATAATTGTGAGGGTGGGCAGACAGTGATAACAAGATGTGTGAACTGTAGGAGGTGATGGGTATGCATGGTGAAATGAGTAGGTTGTGAGGATGCATGTGGGACGCTGAGTATAGTGGTGTTGCGGAGAGCATATAGCAGCATATGCACTGTGGCGATATTTATGCAGTGTGGACCGGCTGTTCTTGACAAAAGTAGGTGGTGCTCATAGGTGACAGCTTATGTGAAGAGGCAGGTTGGTGCCCATACAGGTGTGGTGTGCTCACACATATGAGTGGCTACAGTTAACAGAATAAGCAATTATTGGGCATTTATTTTGTATGTATGTATGTGCTGAGGGAGTGTTGATGCAATGAGCAAGTGTGAGGTTGTGTGTATTAGTGAGTAATCGTGTCTGGCTAATGCAAAATGGCCACGTGGTGGTGGTATATGGAAATTGATTAAGTGGTTATGTATGAATATGTAAGGACAGACTGTATGCAGGAAGCAAGAACATGTAGGGAGATAAGAGACATACTGCCAAGAAGGAGAGGTGTGTGTGAAGGTCATACATTTAAAAAAAAAAAAAAAAACCACAACAAAAATGTATGCCTGCCAGGGCATAGAGATGTTAGTGTTAGGACTATCTGCTGGTGTTCATGTGTGTTTGGAACTGGTGGTGTGGATGAGGCGTGTAAGGCAGCAGCGTCTGTCTGGAGATGACAGTATGAGTAGCTATTGGTGTATGCGACTGGGTTTGTCCAGGATCAGGGGGTGTGTACAAAATAGCATGGCATGGGGCAGTGTATAAAAGCAGTTTGTGAGTGTACAGGTGTAGCGTGGGATAAGTCATTTATGTAGCAATGGCAACGTGCGTGTCGAAGTAGTGCATGACTGGAAATGGTGTCAATGGTTTGTGTCACTGTATAGTTGTGAGGAGGGTTTATAGCCTCCTCCCTGTGTGGATACAACCCTATAAGGGCTATGCCTGTGTGCTAAGTACAATATTAAGGGAGGGGGGTGTAGCACTGGTGATGCAGCATGTGATGGTTGAGCTTGAAGTGATCCTATGAGTGGAAGCAGTATGTGAGGGGATAGAAGAGTGGACAGATGGTGCGTTTGCATGGCAGCATAGCTAGGGTGGTCTTGGTGCCATCATGGTGTAAATGGTGATGGTGAGCTGCAGTATGCAAACTGGTACCTGCACTGTTGGATGGGTGATGGACAGAGGCACAGCATGTGCTCAGGTGTCAGAATGGGACGGGGGGGGCACATTTGGGACAGAGCATATGGAGCAGGGCACAGCTGTAAAGTATTATGCTGCTAGTGCGTGATATCTGGTGGTGGGACAGGACAAGGTGTGGGGCATGGAGCTGCGTGGTAGTAGGAGGCATGGGATGGGCATTGCTGTTTTCATAGGGTTGAAGGTTGTGTGGAATGTCGTAGTCAGTGCCGTGCCTGGTGCCAGTGCAATGGGGTGGGCAATACACACGGTGCAGTGACAGGAGAGGGTTACAGCAGCAGTACAGACACGAAGCATGCCTGCCCGGGTAACGTTGCCCACCCACCCGTGACCCAGGCTTTTATGCTAAAGGAGAAAGGACGGTGCCTTTGCCTGGGGTGCCCCTGACCCGGAGCCAGACGCTGCGGAGGGGGAGCAGTGCAGAGTGGAGGGGGAGGAGAGGATGCTGGCTGGGGGGGACCAGTGCGGGGTGGGAGGGCAGTGCAGGGTGAAGGAAACAGTACTGTATGGGGGAGCAGCGTGGGTTCGGGGGGCGTTGCGGGGTGGAAGGGACAGCGGGGACAGGGGAGAGGTTGCACTCGGGCTGCCCCGGAGCTGCCAGCGCT